TTGCCCTTCTCTTCACCCAAATCAATACTTATCTCTATCTATCTAACAGTGTTCCCTCTCCTCCCCTTCCACCCTGGTAACCAACAAAGAAAATTTCCTTCCATAGATACACCTTTCCTTGAGTTTTACAATAACAGACTAATACAATATTTGTCTTCCTGTGATTGACTTATTTCACTCAGCATAATGTCCTCCACGTTCATCCACATTATGCTGTGTTTTGCAGATTCTAGGTTATTCTTTTGGGTTGCATAGTATTCCATTGTGTATATGTACCATAGTTTGGTTATCCATTCCTAAGTTGATGGACACCTAGGTTGTTTCCATCTTTTGGCTATTGTAAATAGTGCTGCAATGAACATGGGTGTGCATATATCTGTTCTTGTCATGGCTGACTTCTTTCAGATATATACCTAGTAATAGAATGGCTGGGTCAAAAGGTATTTCTAATTCCAACTTTTGAAGGAATTGCCTTACTACTTTCCATGATGGTTGTACCATTTTACAGTCCTACCAGCAGTGTATGAGAGTCCCAGTCTCCCCACGTTTGTTATTTTATGTCTTGTTGAACTTTGCTACTAGTGCTGGAGAAAGAGGGTATCTTGTTGTTTTGGTTTGCATCTCTCTCTAATGGCTAATGATCGTGAGCATTTTTTCATATGTTTGTTGGCTGCCTGAATATCCTCCTTGGTGAAGTGTCTATTCATGTCTTCTGCCCAGTTTTTGATTGGATTATTCATCTTTTTGTTATTGAGGTGTTGGAGTTTTCTATAAATTCTAGGGATAAGTCCCTTGTCAGATATGTCATTGCCAAATATTTTTCCCAATATGTAGGTTCTCTTTTGACTCTTTTGGAGAAATCTTTGGAAGCACATAAAATTTGATTTTTATAAAGTCCCATTCATCTAGTTTCTCTTCTGCTATTTGTGCATTTTGGGTTATACTTGATAGTAGATTTATGCCATATATTAGGGCCCCTAAATTTTCCCCTAGTTTTTCCTTGATGAACTTTATAGTTTTAGTATTCACATTTAAGTCCTTGATCCATCTGGAGTTAGTTTTTGTGTATGGTGTAAGGTATAGATCTTATTTCATTTTTCTGCACATGGATATCCAGTTTTGCCAGCACCATTTATTAAACAAACATTCTCTTCCCCATTTAATGGATTTTGGCCTTTTGTCAAAGATCAGCTAACCATAGGTCTATGGATGCATTTCTGGGTTCTTAATTCTATTCCAATGGTCTATGTGTCTGTCGCTATACCAATACCAGGAAGTTTTGACTACTGTGGCTGTGTAGTTGGTTTTGAGATCCGGCAATGTGAGACGTCCTACTTTGTTCTTCTTCTTCAATAGTGCTTTGCTTATCCGAGGTCTCTTTCCTTTCCATATAAAGTTAGTGATTGGTTTTTCCATATCCTTAAAAAATGTTGATGGGATCTGGATTGGGATTGCATTGAATGTATAGATTGCTTTGGGTA